CGCTAGCAGCCGGGCCTCGGCTGAACCCTCCTCCCGCAGCCTGGGGGTTCCTTAAAAGGCCCCGGCGCCTGGAGCCCTGACAGGGGGGATTCTCCAGAAAGCTCCTGGGGCTGCGGGGGAGGGGGAGGACTCAATGTAAAGCCCCTGCGTTAAGGTTCTGGTAGGGATTGGTAACTGCTTAAAATATAGGAAACAAAGGGCAGAACTACGCAGTCAGTTTTCAGCCTGGAGAGGGGTAACCAGGGGGACCAAGCCTATACAACTTCTTCATAAATGATCTCGAGAATGGGGTAAACAGGTGCCGCTGATCCCAAACTGCCCAAGGTAGTTAAATCCAAAGCAGACTGTGAAGAACTTCAAAAGGATCTCACAAAACTAGGTGACTAGGCAACACAAGTGGCAGATTAATTTTAAAGTTGATAAATGCAAAGTCATGCATATTAGGAAACATAATCCCAACTAGCGGTATAAAATGATGGGGACTAAATTAGCTTTTACCACCCGAGAGAGATCTTGGAGTCATTGTGGCTAGTTCCTGGAAAACATCCACTCAGTGTGCAGCAGCAGTCAAAAAAGCAAACCGAATTTTAGGAATCATTAAAAAGGTGGTAGAGAATAAAACAGAGAATATTTTATTGCCTATATATAAATCCATGATACGCCCATATCATGAATACTGCATGCAGATGTGGTTGCCCCATCTTAAAAAAAGACATCTTGGCATTGGAAAAAGTTCAGAAGTGGGTAACAGAAATGATTAAGGGCATGAAACAGCTGCCATATTAGGGAAGATTACAGGAGGCCCGACTTGTGACTGCCCGAGTTCTGACCCCCTGCACTTACAACCATTTTTGTAAGTGTGGAAGGGGCCAATAACCTCCCGACTTACGTCCTTGGCCCACATTTACGACTGCGCACAGCACCGATCGTAAATGAGGGTTTGAGTTACGACGCCCCCAATGTGCGATGCTTCCCCTGGAACCAATTGCGCAAGTTGGGGGCCTCCAGTAATGAAACTGGGACTTTTCAGTCTAGAAAAAAGGAGGAGTCTAAGGGAAAGTTATTTACTTGCTCCCATAACACAGGAACTATGGGTCACCAAGTGAAATTAATAAGTAGTAGGGATGTTAGATGATGAATTGAATAACTGTGTAACCTCATCAAATGTTAGCCATTACACTACTATTTAATAGTCCCCGGAGGCAGGGCCAGTAGCCAATGCGCTCTCTGCCCCACTCCCAGGGAGCTCCCTGCCACCCCATACTGCTGCATCTGATATGGAGGCAACAGTGTGGGGTGGCAGTAGCCCCTGTCTGTGGGGAGCCCGAGCTCCCCACTGACAAACTATGCTGGCATCCCATGGAGCAGCCTGTGATAGAGGCAGGAGAGTGGAGGTGTGGGGAAGGTGGATCCATGGAGCCAGTGCATGCGAGAAGCCAGTTTTTAAAGCCAGCTCCCGCAGATCACTAGTTCCTGCTCTTCCCGCCGCCGCCTCTGTGAGAGGAATAGGAGGGTCCACGGAGCTAGTATGCGTGGAGAGCTGTCTTAAAAGCCGGCTCCCCACACGTATTGGTTCCCACCTGCCTTTTCCCCCCACACTGGTGCCTCTGATAGCAGCACAGGGTGGCAGGAGGGTTTATGTGAGCCGATATGCATGGAGAGCTGGCTTGAAAGCCGACTTCCTGTGTGCCCGAGCTCCCCACTGACAAACTATGCTGGCATCCCATGGAGCAGCCTGTGATAGAGGCAGGAGAGTGGAGGTGTGGGGAAGGTGGATCCATGGAGCCAGTGCATGCGAGAAGCCAGTTTTTAAAGCCAGCTCCCGCAGATCACTAGTTCCTGCTCTTCCCGCCGCCGCCTCTGTTTAATAGTTCAGTTGACTATACATTGACATCCCTAATAGATATCAGGGTTGTTTTTGTTTTTTAAAGGACGTTCCTACAGGGTGTTGGTGCCCTGAATATGTTCAAAACATAAGACAGAATTATAAAATCTCAGAAGATAGGCTGTTTTACAAACTTTGCAAACCTTGGTAACCATTTCTGCTTGAAAATTCATGCACTGACTTGGTACGTTGGCCCAGATCCTCAAAGGTATTCCTGCTCCTAACTTCTATTGAAATCAAGAAGTTAGAAGCCTATATACCTGTGAGGATATGAGTCTTAATGTATATGCATGGCTTGTGTTTTCACAGCTTTTGTGGAAAATTCACCTGAATTAATTGATCATCAAAATCAGTGTTTCCTCTAAGCTGCAGAGGCAGCATAGCTTCATAGGTGATTAATCAGCCCTGTCCAGTCAGAGACTCCGGCTCCAGGCTCCCTGCATGGGTCTGATTAATCATCTGTGAAGCTGTACTGCTGTGCAGCTTAGAGGGAACACTGGTCAGAATGTGGAACATATGTCCACTTGCCCTTCTCTTGGACAAAGGCATTTGTTACATGAAGTTGGTATATCATTCAGAAAACAGCTAAACCTAGTGACACTTCAGTAGTTATAATAGATCTTTAGTATTATTGCCCCCATTAAGATCCAATCTTATACTTCATTTGCCAGCATTGCTTCAGTCTGTCTATCTGCATGCTCAGTTGGTTAGCAGAAGTGTAACAGTTCTATTTTGTAACTTACAATTTATACATCTTCCAGAAGCATTCTAAAATGCTTATTAGTTCCCACTGGGTTACGTTTCCTTATGTAGTAAAAAAGTGCAATCAAAAGACATATCTCCACAGCTCAGCTACCAACATATGGCAAGCATGTTAATTTGTATTTTGGAATCCCATAGTGCAAGGAGAAGAAATTCTTGGTAGTAACTAACAATTGGCATTTAAAGAGACCTAATAATTGTGGCGTACATGACAGCATCTTTAGAAAAGGGCTAAACCCCATGCAAACTGACATTATAACCCTTTCCTTGTTTGCTGATGGCCTTACTGTACAAAGAATCCACTGTAAATTACTATGCCAGATACACATGCAGACCACAGCCACTCCAAAATAACTGCTGCCAATGTCTTTTCTGTAGTTATTTGGGAGGACTGACTTCTGAATTGAACCACACAGTGAATAAGGAGTTTCAGTTGTGCATATGATTTTTAGGCAGGTTTTGTAGTCAGTTGCTGCTCTGAAAAGTCAGGGGACACGTGACCCAAAATAATTTTTATCCTCATCAGTATCATATTCATTTACAAGTTTGACACTATCAACTTGGGCTTGAATAAAGATATTAACTGATTAGCACACTACAATGGCTATTTCCTCCACCTTTAATATTCACATTCACACATCATAAACTATATAGGGGACACATCTAGCCTGACTCAATTAGTGTCATTAACACTGGTCCTGCAATTGACATGTAACTACTTGTGCTGTTATATGCATCCTGGATTCTATAATTTCCACTCCAGTTTATCAGGTGAAGTGGGTTTGTTAGTCTCTAAAATGCCACATTTGTTAGTCTCTAAGGTGTCACAAGACGGCTTGTTGTTTTTGAAGTTATAGATTAACATGGCTACCCCCTGAAATGTCAGTGGAGTTAGTGTAAGATCAGTTTGGTCAGGTGAATTCCAGGGAGCACCATCATCAGTAATTTGAGCATTCTCTGGAAAATGGCATTATGATAGTTTACATACCCCAAAACTAAAATACGGTTGATATGGATTTATGCCAGAGAACACTGTGTATTTAATGTGATTCTGGACATTTTTAATATGCTAGTTTTTACTTCAAGGGTTTGGGGTGTTTGGATTTTCTTTATTTTCCTATATATAACTTTTTTGCTATGTTAACCAATTTTGTTCTGCCCATTCTCTATAGAACTTTAACAATATGCTTGTTCCAATTTTTATATGTATCATATTTAAAACCTAGTTTCAGCAAAATATCTGGTGAAATTCCCGGAGCCATGGCTAGCGCTGACATCAAACCAAAATCTATAAGTCGTGCCAAAAAATGGTCAGATGAGGTAGAGAATCTATACAGATTTCAGCAAGCTGGATACAGGGATGAAATTGAATATAAACAAGTGAAGCAAGTTGATATGGTAAGATTTATAACTGTACAGGGGCTATATAATTTAATTTTCTATTTCCTATTACCTATTAAATAGTGAAATAAAAAGGAGGCACACCGTGTATGTCATTTCATTTGCTTTTGGTTTTAGTCAAATTCAATGTTATTTCTTTAGATAGCTTTAGAAGTGTAGAATAACCGGTTTTCAGATAAATTTAATTTACTTGGCCTGCAGTGTGCTGCCTCTCCATCAGTTACATACTTAAACGTTTCAGAGCGTTTGTTAGATAATGGAGTTTTTTTTTTCATTAATACTGGTGAAAGGTATATAGCTCACAGCTGGCTTCCACACACTAGTTTGCCAATGGGCACACCCCTTGATGTAGTATATCACTTTTTAAGGATGAGAAGATGGTACAGTTTCCTTGGGTTCAATCCAGCATCCCTGAAATCAGTGGCAGGTTTACCACTGAATTGCATTAAGGATGTTAATAGGCGGGTAATTGGCTAATCGTGTAGTTGATACAAATTGTATTGACTACATAATTAGTCGATAAGGGAAGGCGCTCAGTCTTGGCTTACACCAGGTCCAGGAGCTACCCCTGCTGTGGATCTGTAGTTTAAGTGTAGTAAAAGCTGGGCTCGTAGGTGGAGAGCTAGGACCCCCCACAGACAGAAGCTACTACCAGAGCAGCCTGCATTTGCAGCCAACCTGGGATCCCCTGCAGATAGGGACTGCTGCTGCGAAGCAGCCCCTGTCCACGGCAGCTGGGGCTGGCTGTGAACAGAGGCTGCTCCGGCAAACAACCTCTGTCTGCGGGATGCGGAGCAGCCCCTGTCCCCTCCCCCCGCTGCCTCTGATACAGAGACAGCAAAGTTTAGGGGGAATCCAAGTAGTTGAGTAGTTGACTCGATTGTCCGATAAGTCAACTATTCGACTACTCGCTTACATCCCTAAATTGTGTAGGAGTTGGATCATATTCCCTGTACATGCAATACTTAGCATCTCTGCTGAAAATGTCAACAGTGGAGAAAGTGAATGCTTGGTGTAGTGAAGGTGTTTACAATACAGATACCCCTCTACTGACCTCTACTCTATTGACCATCAATGAGTCAATCCTGTACACAAGTAATTGAAAACTTTGATGTATATTACATAAACTACCAATTAGTCACCAGATGCCAGACCACTACTAATCTACTCTGGATTCCAACCAGCAAACCAACCAGCAAATTCCAACCAGCTCTGTATTTCATTATTAATCTCTTAAATTATGTAGTACCTCATAATTCTTTTTAAAAACCTGCTCAGATCTAACATATAATTATTTTGAAATATACAGTTTGCATTAAAGAAAATAATTGGTACTTCTCATGCCTTGTAGCCACTTTCCATTATTTAAAAATCAACCGTTTGAAGTATTTTCAAAATATTAGAAACAGATTAAAATGTATTGGTGTTCAATCTCACCAAATTTCGTGTTTTAAATCAATATGATATGCACGTTCAAGCCTTTGAAATTGGTGAACCAACTGCTTTTTTTACCTTCATCAGTACTGTAAACATGTAAATGTGGTCTTTGAAAAGTTACTACTAGGCAAAATTTTTTTTAAATGCATATTTTAATTATACCCTATTTAAAATGGAAGTGTGAAAGAAGATACTGAGCTCAGATACTATGGTGAAGAGTGTAGTATAAGTGCCTACACAGAAGTCCATGAGAATGGTAGGATCTCTTTAGTTAATAAATTGTACAAACTACAAGACTGCTACTGGGTACAAGCCACAAAACAATACCACTATGATTTCATTGGCAGAGGGACATTTCAACTTAAAAACTATGCGGAGCTCTCTTTATATCAGATTTCCTTAGAATTAGCATCAGTTATATTGTAACTAATTATATTTTGAAATATGGCTTCCTTTTACTTTATTATGGAGGCTACAAGATCCAAGAGTAGAGAGACAAGAAATATTATATAGTACTTCCATTTAGACAAATAACCCAAGCAGCCGGCACAGCTGTATATTTAAGTACCAAGCTGAGTAATAAAATTACCATTTATGAGACATAATTTGAATGTGATCTGATTTGACATCCCTAATGGCATCCATAATTGTAAATCAGTAGTGAGAAATTAATATTTAGGCTTCAAGACAATAGGAAATACTTCTGTTGTCCATGCTGCATATGCTTATCTAATGCTATGGGAGCTCCCAAAAGCTCTTTAATTACAATAATTGAATGTCTGCACTTTTTACAAGGTAATAAATATCTTCTGAGGTACTGAATTGAAAGCCATAGGTGATGGTGCTCGATACCTTGCAGGATTGGGTCCACTGACACTAACTTTTCTTATTTTACATAATGGCTCATTTGTTTCTTTGAAAATGCTGATGAAATATTTTTCATGGTTAAAAAGGTGCTGAAGAACCTTTTATATGCACATAATTCTTCCATAACTAGTGGAATCTTTCAGCCATTCACATTTTTTAATCACTGACTTGTTTATACAGTAGAAGGAAGGCTCTAGTATCCATTGGCTAATAAAGGAGAGTCCTAGACATTAGAGATGGAAAAGCCCTATTGGATTAGGTCTAATATACTCCACTGCACCAGAGAAGGGTTGTTTCTGTTTTCCTTGCACCATATTTCCTAACAGCTTTGTCCATCCCAGTTTTAGATGACGTAAGTGCTGCAGCTTCCATCACATCCCTTTTGGACCATTCTTCTGACATAGTGAAGTACAGGCAGTCCCCAGGTTACGTAAAAGATAGGGACTGTAGGTTTGTTCTTAAGTTGAATCTGTATGTAAGTCGGAACTGGCGTCCAGATTCAGCCGCTGCTGAAACTGACCCGCTTCATTTGCATAAGCTTTTCCGGAAGAAGGCTATAGTGTAGCCGTATCCTTCATATGAAAGTGGGAGTCAGGATATCATAGAATTCTAGAACTGGAAGGGACCTCAAGAGGTCATCAAATCCAGTCCCCTGCTCTCTCAGCAGGACCAAGCATTGTCTAGTTTATCCCTGACAGGTGTCTGTCTAATCTTCTCTTAAATATCTCCAGTGATGGAGATTCCACAACCTCCCTAGGCAATTTATTCCTGTGTTTAACCACCTTGACAGTTAGGAAGTTTTTCCTACTGTCCAACTTCCTTGCTGCAGTCTAAGCCCATTGCTTCTTGTCCTATCATCAGAGGACAAGGAGAACAATTTTTTCCCCTCCTCTTTATAACACCCTTTTAGATACAGGTAGTCCCCAGGTTACGTAGATCCGACTTACATCGGATGCCTACTTAAGAACAGGGTGAGGGAATCCCGAACTAGCTGCGCCGCCCCCCAGCAGACCAGGGACACGGGGAGCAAAGCCGCAGTGGCAGCGGGGGGCCGCGCCTCTGAGGCTTTGCTCCCGGTGCCCCTGGGCTGCTGGAGACGGTCCCTAGCAGACCAGGGGCACTGGGAGCAGCTTTCCTCGCCCCAAAGGTCGAGGTGGCGGGACCGCTGCGCTCTGGGCGGTCCCGCTGCCTGCGAGCTCCGGGGCGAGAAAGCGTAACTCGGGGACTGCCTGTATTGCTGGTTTTTTTTGTTTGTGTGTTTTTTGTGCCATACTGAATTTTGGCTAGAAACCGGTTTTCTAATGTTTTGTGGTTTTTTGGGAAGCAATTTAATCATAAAGGAACCTGACGAAGTGGGTCTTTGTCCACGAAAGCTTATGCTCCAACACTTCAGTTAGTCTATAAGGTGCCACAGGACTCCACGCCGCTCTTGCAGATTCAGACTAACACAGCTACCCCTCTGATACTTGAATTTAATCATAAAGCACTAGTCAACTGCAAACCAATTTATTCATCAAAATGCGATGCATATAACAATATCTTCATGGATGTTTTCTCTCAGTGTCAGCATATTTAGAAGATGAGTGTATATTCTCCTCATTCTGTTTTCAGGTGGATCGTTGGCCAGAAACAGGATTTGTGAAAAAACTTCAGAGAAGAGACAATACTTTTTATTATTACAATAAGCAAAGAGAATGCGAAGACAAAGAAGTCCATAAAGTGAAAGTTTATGCTTATTAATTGTTATATCCCAATTACACTTTTTTATTTTGCTGTAAGTATGTTGCTTTAATCTATATATTTATAAAATGTAAGGAATTAAACAAGGTTTCTTAACTAATTTGTCCATTTCTAAATAGAGCAAAAGTGGTATTTTTGGGAGGAATACTAATCTATTGTCAGTACTGGATTTTCACAGAGCTTTTGATGAGATCTGAATAATTAGAAGTGCTAATCATTATTTAGTGCATTATTTTCAACCCTTGTATTGTGGCTTGTCAGGGTAAGCCACTGGCATGCCACAATACACTTTGTGTACCTGAGGGTCCAGAGGCACAGCTGCTCATGGTTCGCTGTTCCCAGCCAATGGGAGCTGTGAGTGGTCATGCCTGTGGATGCTCGGGTAAACAAAGCATCTCATGGCTGCTAGTGGCTTACCCTGAAGTGACCCAAAGTTTGAAAGCCTCTGGTTCAGTGCATTAAATATTTAATATACTTTACTGGCAGTAGCTAATTAATTCTAACCACAATCTTAGGAGATAAATAACGTTTATTATCATCAGTTTACAAATAAGAAAACGGAGGTAGAAAAGTTAAGTTACATCTGTAAGGTCATGAGGAAGTCTATGTCAGATCCAGTATTAGTATTTGTTAAAGGAAATCAAACGACCTAGTAGGAGGGGCCAAACTCATGCTGTGGATTAAAAATTGCTTATGTGATGGGAAATGATCACAATAAATGTCTTTCTCTCTTAGCAAAGAGGAGAAAATAGTGAGGTATTCCACAGATCTGTGGGGGGGTTAGAATTTAAGTATTAATGACATTAAGGAAAATGTATTTAACAAATTGGTGACATTAGCCAATGATATAGGATATTTGACAGTAAAAACTAAAGTGGATTGTGAGGAGTTAAACACATGGTTGGGAAAAAGGGGGTATTGGGCAGCAAAGTGTCAAATAAAATCTGACTTGATGAGTAAGGTAATGCTCATAGATAGGAAAACAATCTAAAACTTGAAATGTAATGCTATACTGGAAGGCACTTGGATGTCAGAATGATGAGGGCAGTATAAAAATTGTATAGAACACATTAACATATAAAATAATGAGTTATTTTAATGGAAAAGAATGGTATCATAACATTATTGAAAACTTTCAAGTCATAGTTTCTCTTTTAAAATGAATGGGGTTTGAGTTTAGTTAAACTGCGGTGATATTCTGTACTCATAACAAGCAATTAGGATGATTGAACCAATTACTGTAATTAGGATAACCCATCTAATTGGTCATTCTAAGGAAACATCTATAGTGAACCTGGAATATCCCTCTGGTGGATGGGATAATGTTGGTAGCAGCTACATGGAGGGAGATTTATTTAAAAGAGTCAATGGATTAATATTTTTCCAGACTTACACACTAAGGCTGCATCTAGACTGGCAAGATTTTACGCAAATACTTTTAATGGAAAAGTTTTTCCATTAAAAGTATTTGCACAAGAGAGCGTCTATACTGGCATGGATGCTTTTGCGCAAAAGACATCTTTTGCGCAAAAGCATCCATGCCAGTATAGACGCTCTCTTGTGCAAATACTTTTAAGCTTTCTTGCGCAAGAAATTAACTTAGCTGTCTACACTGGCCCTCTTGCGCAAGAATACTTGCGCAAGAGGGCTTATCCCTGAGCGGGAGCGTCAGAGTATTTGCGCAAGAACCACTGATTTTGTACAGTACAAAGTCAGTGTTCTTGCGCAAATACTCGTGGCCAGTGTAGACAGGCAGCAAAATCTTGCCAGTCTAGACGCAGCCTAAAGCTTTGAATAAAAGAGAGAGATTTGTGTCTCTATGGTGTGATATTAAAAATAGAAGCACAGAAGTGCCTGTCTTTTACCCTGACAATTTAAGAGCGTTTACTATGGGATTAAAAAAATGACATTTTTGACAATGCTGTATCCATTTGAAGATCACAAAAATGAATGAAACTAGAGATTCCAGTGTTGCTCAATTTGCTGGTAATGGTGCTCAAACCTCAGAATTCTAAATGTAGTGGTCTGTAGTATAATCCATCTGTTTGAACTATCTTGCTTGGTTTGGTGTCTGTGCAACAAAAGCAATTAATTGATGTAAATTAAATAATACTCCAGTTGTTAGTACTATATACTGTAGCTCCTTATCTTCCATTGCAGGAGTCTACCTGCAAAATAACTGTCAAAATGGCATTTTGAAGTCCATCTCAAATTTATTCTATATCAAATATGCTCAGTTTACCAGACAAAAGCTGAACTGCCAAACCCACATGAAGTGCAGTCTCAGCTGGCAGAGTCACTCTGGGTTCTTTCTGGTTCCCACATTATCATCTAACTGAAGTGAATTTTGTTACAGATACAGGTGTGATCCATTAGGCTGAGCATATAACTAGGACTCAAAAATCTTGGAGTGAATTCCTGGCCCCATTGACATTAAAGCATGCTTTGCTATTGTCTTAATTGATCAAGGATTACATCCTTGGCTCCTGTTTCCTGCTCTTCCAGAGACTCAAGTCATTGACCCTCCCCATGCCTGAGTGTCCTTATCTGTATGACAGACAAGCATTATTATTTATTAACTCTCTAGTTATCAATAAAGGTTCTATAATTATTGCCCTGGTGATGTGAAAGCCAGAACAGAATCCAGCTCCACTCCTATAAATGTAGTGACTACAGTACTACCAAGAGTAAAAAGGAGTAAAAACTTATTTGAGGACTATATAATGCCATCAGTTTTTAAGCAGAGCTCCTCATTAAAAACACAGCATGTCTTGTTGTCAGAAAAGTAAGAATATTGGATTTGGAGGACATATAGAGAACACATCTGTTGAGTAAGAAAATGCTGCTTATATATAGCCCTTTTTTGACTATACCTAAACATCAAGCTTATATATGAATTGTGAACTCTAATGGCTTTCAGTATGTGTTTTTCTTCTTTAATGCATTACATGTGTGTTCCTATCCTTCATTTTGTCTTTTGTATTTAATTAACAGTATTAGTTTTGTTTGTGAAAATTAAAGACTGTTAATAAACAAAGGTGGGGATTTATTTCTTTACTTTTCCACATATAAAATGTGTTCCTATTTTTAGTGTATTCTTTCTTCATTTTCCATAATGTGTTCATAAATCACAGGGCCAGATTCTGGTCTCATTTCTATCAATGTATCTGATTTCACTGGAATCCTGCTGGAGTTAAGCTGTGTAAATGAGGTTAGAATTGGGCCTATGGTACCTTAAATTTACTGTCAACTTTTTTGGAAAAAAGAAATGGTGTTGCTCAGACATTCCTCATTGTAGCAATTGAGTAGCATGAGAAAAAAACATACTGTTGGTATTCATTGATCTTCTGTTGAATTTTGAGAGGCTGGCACCAATGTTGAGCTATGCCGTAAGCAGTTGAATGAGAATGTGACATTAGAGGGAAATAACACAAGGTTGGAGAGAGAAGTAAATTGTGCCCTTGAACATTTCTGATTACAGTTAAAGTTGCAGTTAACAATATAATTTGTCTCATAATCTATCCTCTTCTTCCAGTACCAGGTGATTAGGGACATACAGAACAAGGGATTATGTCCCTTATTGTCTTGCCTATTAGCCTTTGATGGACCTATCCTCCATGAACTTATCTAGTTCTTTTGTGAACCAATTATACTTTTGTCCTTTACAGCATCCCCTGGCAACATGTTCCACGGATTGTGCATTGTGTGGAGAAGTACTTCCTTATCTTAGTTTCAAACCTGCTGTCTATTAATTTCATTGAGTGACCCTTGATTCAGCTGTTCTGTGAAGGAGTACATAACTCTTCCCTATTCGCTTTCTCCATACCATTCTTGATTTTTATAGACCTCTGTCATATCCTTCCTCCCCCTTAATTTTCTCTCTTCTAAACTGGGAAGTCCAAGTCTTTTTACTCTCTATAATTTTTTTTTGCCCTTCTCTATGCTTTTTACAGTTCTATATATTTTGAGATGGGGTGTCCCCAACTGCACACACTATTTACAATATTTATATAATGATATTCTGATAGTTTTTGTTATTATCCATCCCTTTCTCAATAGTTTGGCTCCAAGATCTTTCTTGTATGGTAACAGCTAATTTAAGACCAAATCATTTTGTGTGTATAGTTTGGGGATTGTTTTTCAATATGCCTTTCATTTTATTTATCAGCATTGAATTTCATTGGCCATTTTGTTGCTCTGTCTGCCAGTTTTGTGAGATCCATTTCTAACTCTTTGCAGTCAGCTTTTAACTTGAGTAATTTTGTATAATCCTCAAGTTTTGTCACTTCACTGTTCACCTCTTTTTCCAAATCTTTTATGAATATGTTGAACAGAACTTGTACCACCACAGATCTTTGGGGAGGGGACCTGCTATTTACCTCTCTTTACTCTGAAAACTGTTTATTGCTACCCTTTGTTGCCTATATTTTAACAAGTTAGTTATCCATGAGAGGCCCTTCCTTCTCATCCCTTGACTCCTTACTTTTCTTAAATGCCTTTGAGGAGCAGGAGTGGCAGGTTTATTGAAATTTTGGTAGTGCTCAGACCCCACACTCCTCCATCACCTAAATTCCCCCAGTTTCTAAGGCTTTGGGAGGGAGTTTGAGTGAGAGAAGGGGCCTGGGATGCAGGCTCTGGAAGGGAGTTTAGATACAGGAGGGATGAGGAGTCAGGCTCTGCCAGGAAGTTTGGATGTGGGAGGAAGTCTGGGGTGCAGGCTCTGGGACGGAGTTGGTGGTAGGTGTACACTCTGGGCTGGGGTAGGGGGTGGGAGTACAGGAGCAGAGTGAGGGATGCAGGCTCTGGGAGGGAGTTTGGAAGGGGTAGAGGGAGTATAGGCTCTGGGAGAGAAGTGTGGGGGAGGGAAGGAGATTGCTGCATTTACCTAGGGCACCCCTCTCTGGCAGCAGCTCCTAGGCAGCTAGACCGGGGAGTTTCCATGTGTCGCTCCCACAAGCATCACCTCACAGCTCCCATTCACCATAGGAGGGCTTTAGGCTGGGGCACTTCCCTAGGGCTACAGGGACATGCAAGCAGGAAAGAAGCCACTCTAGCACGTCTTCACAGCCGGTGGTAGTGGTGGAGGCCCTCGAGCCCTTTTAAATTGCCTACGGTGATAGATACAGATTAGGGGATATACTGGGGGAGGCATGCAGAGATCGGGAGAGAGACCCAACTCCAAACTCTTCTGAAGCCAGACTCCTGGGTCAGGAATATTCCTCAACCCCAGGCACTATGTGCCCAGAGAACTCGCTGCCCCTGTGGTGAGGGACCTTCTCAAAGGTTTTCTGAAAGTCCAAGTGGCCAGGGACCTACCAAATTCACAGCTGTGAAAAGCTCCTGAAATCCGGTGCCCTGTGAAATATGGTCTTTTTGTACTTTTTCTCATACTATGCATATTTCATTGGGGGAGGGGCACCAGCATTTCCTCAGACGGGGAGGGGAGAAAGAGAGACATGAGTTGGGCTGACCCAAAAAGAGTTTAGGGGGGTTGCAATATCAGTTACGATGAGGGGGATCATAGCCAAGTACCCATCTCTGAAGGCAGTGTGTCACCAGCAGCAGTGCAGTAGCAAGGGAGGCACTACCATACCATGTCACCTTTACTTCTGCACAGCTGAAAAGATGTAGCTGCTAGCTAAGGGTCCAGTTCTGAAGGCATCAGCATAGAAGTAAGGGTAGCAATACTATAGGCTAGCAATACCATACTCTACCATCCTTTCTTTTGTGCTCCTACTGACAGTGGTGTTCAGAGCTGGGCTCCCAGCCAGCAGCTGCACACTCCAGCCGTTCAGCTCTGTAGGCAGTGCTGCTCCCAGCAGCTGCCAAGAAGTAAGGCTGACAATACAGTGGCCCCCGACAATAACTTTGTACTCCTCCTACCCCACAGCTTCCTTTTGGGGCAGGATCTAAATAATAACAATATTGTGAAATTTCACATATCTGAAATCATAAAATCCTATGACTCTGAAATGACCAAAATGGATTGTGAATTTGGAAGGGTCTTAACTCTATCCACTGGATCACACTACTCCACATGTTTCTTGACTCCTTCAAAGAATTCAAATAGATTGGCGAGGCATGATTTCCGAAAGCCATATTAACTCTTTCCTAACACGTGTCCATCAGTGTGTCTTGTATTTCTGTTCTTACTAGAGTAGTTTCATCTATTTTGCCTGGTATTGGTTAGACTCACCACCTGTAATTCCCAGGATCACCTCTGGGGCCTTTTAAAAAAATTGTCCAGCTATCCCCCAGTCATCTGGTACAGAGGCTGTTTTAAGAGAGAGGTTCCACACCACAGTTAGTAGTTCTGCAATTTCATATTTGAGTACCTTGAGAACTCTTACGTAAATACCATTTTGTACTGTTAAATTTATTGATTTGTTCTAAAATCTCCTTTGTTGACAACTCAGTCTTATAGAGTTCCTCTGATTTGTCAACTCAAAAGAATAATTCAGATGTAGGAAGCTTCCTCTCTTCCCCAGTGAAGGCTGATGTAAAGATTTT